ATATATATATATATATACTCATCGAACGAATGCCAAACATAATCGTCTTACATCGAACGCTCTCTTGAAGCAGATATCATAGTTTGGAAGCAGCATTCATCTATTGAAGCGCAAAAATCACCCTGAAGGTTAATTTAACGCGTGACTGTTGTACGGCGATTTTTGTCTAAATCGGCTACTGTCATCTCCGTTTAGAGAATTCCCAAGACTGGGTTGTCCCGTCTATCCAAATTTTCGACACGATTTTATAAAAATGTGTGAAGGAGAAGTGTCACGGAATGAACAGTTCTGTTGTAGACATTCATACACGATTGCCCCAATTGAGATGGCCACCTTGTTTTAACCCGGTCGAGTATTTTTTGAACCTCTGCAACACATTTGGTTATCGCGAGTTTTGAATCCACTGTTCGGAAGACAGGAGCTATTCCGCTGTGCATTGTATGAGATTCAAACAGAACTTTTCATCCATGTTCAGTCATCTAGAATTTTCGGGGATTAAGATCACATCTTCCAATTGAACCACCTATTTCATCAGCGTGTCCTTGGTTCAAACATCAAAGTCCAGTCTACTGAGGACGATGTGTGGGGATTTGGAACAAACCCACTTGACAATAAACGTTTCCATTTCGGTTTATTTTCCCAAAGTTCGAACCCGGTTCTTCGCATCCCTCAAGCACGTCGACTGTTTGTTACATGCTCCTTACCACACAGTTTGTATCAGTCCAATGACAGATCCTTCATCAAAATCATGATCAACACTGTCACTGCGATGCTGTTCAGTTTTTCGGCTGATAAATATCAGATCAACGATGATTGACTCATGGAATCTGTTTAACCAGGCCATCGTACTAGCCAACTAATTGGAGACGCCTCTGGTTATTCCACCCTCTGTTACCATCGGCAACAGGAATGATGCGTTTTTCTCGTTTAGCATACCTCTTCAGGCTAGGGCTGATCACACGTTACTTTTAATCCCATCAAAGGCAAAATACCAATTACGTTCACCATAAACATGGCACCAGCCCCACATGGAGTTGATTATTAACCTGATCACAAAACCTCATTGGCTTTTAATTAGGCCCAGTGACAGTTCTGGCAGTTTTCATCTGCACTGGATAAAAATTTGAAGCAAATGCTTTTCATAGTCGATCCATGTTGAAGAGCTATGAAACACAGTACTGCTGTTTCGCTCTCACTGGGAACTGTAACTCATTTTCGTTTGCTTTCATGTAACCGGTAGCGGGGCCAAAGTGAACCCCAGTCTAACTGATTTCGAACAATCCACAGTACGGAATGTATACGTCTCTGATTGTCCTACAAAATATTTCCAGATATTTTCAAGATAGCTATCTAAATAAAGCAAAGTAAAGTGTACTCGAATCTCACTGATCCTCTAGGCTTGAAGTGGGATGTGAGTTCGAGATACTTCATTGGTCAAGTTGTGAGCTTCCAACCAGGAGTTCCGTGGTTCGAACCTAACCCCATCATCTAAACTGCTCCTGTCTAAGCTTGGGCACCCTGGCAGTGTCTCAGCATTCGTGCTTTTTTCAGGTGGCATCGTAGATAGATACTAAGAGGGGTTTAAAGCGAGACGAACGTCTTTTGCCATTAAATTACATCACACTCAAACTACGCGACGTATGGATTGGAGTCGAAAACAATTGCTTTATCGGCAAATGTCTGAGGAGATCATTGTTCTAGTGTTCGTTTCGGGCAGGAAAAGGCACAACAACAACAAGACCCTTGTTGGGATAGTCGGATGTCAGACACGAAACGAGAGCTAACCCAACCACGGGTGGTGGTTTTCGTTTGGAATTTCAAAAGCAACTGAACCAAATCACCCACATAGTACCAAAATCGGCTTCGACTGATAACCTTGGAATTTCAGCCTGGGTTGAAACATGCAGTAATTGCATAAAGCGGGACCTAGCATGAGGCAACTTGACTCGTCCGGTTGAGTGAAAAATTGTGAAGAACTGAGGTTCTATCGTTTAGTCTCTTTATTCAACATCAAGAGCCCAAGAGAGTACAAAAATGAGGACCAGCGTTGTAGAAAAATAGCAGGTAAAGCGGGAAGAAGAAAAAAGAAAGACTTGCTGTTGTTGGACTAAATGCAATTATCGAGCGGTACAAGATAATGGGGAAATTTTGAAAATGAAGGGGAGTCTTCGTCAAGATTTTCCGGCACCACGTCCTCGTCGCGTCTTCACCTGTCCTGCAAGCGCCAACCGGGGTCCACGAGCAGTGCCGCCTCCGCGGCGGCTGGATACACTGGAAGTGCTCGGCTCCGACTCAGTCGAAGTTGCATCTCGCTTTTGTTTTCGTAGCAACTCACAGTCGGAATGGAGGAAGGTGTATAATTTCGTCGCGCATTCTCTGAAAGGTGAATCATAGAATTCTATAAGCATCATTTCAGAAAGCTTAAAGAAAGCAGTCGGGTCATGCTTCGTCAGGCCAATTAGCTAGATTACAAGGCTGGTTGAGTCTTAAAGCAATCAACAAGACATCTTATTGGCAACACGCCCCATCAAGTTAGATGTCGGCTAAGGGGGGGTTTCTTTGCTTTTTGTTAGTTACTGTAGGATAGTGAACGTTACACCGAAGAGCTGGAGGGAATAGCCTGCATGAATTACCGGTCTAGCCTGTCTGTTTCACGTTGAGTTGAATAATCTGTTGAGTGGTTTGTGTGGTTGGATTACCAGTACGACAAATGGGTTAGTGGTAAAGAGTACGTGAGATTTTCGGGTCGGGCTAGATCTACAACAACTTTACTGATAGTCACACACCAACACCTGTCAGTTCGGTTGATATAACACCACTCTTCATGTGCTGGCCAACTCTGCGCACCCTATCATATTTACGCCGGGACACCCCTGTCATCGGTCGCTGTGGTGTGAATCGTAGTCCCCGCCACGAAGCTCCCAAATTTTCTAGATCTTTTTTCGGTCCAATGTCCACTCCACCATGCCTTCCCATCACCGAGCCTTTGACGGAAACGTTACCCAACAATAAACCCACTTGTTGCTTTTCAAAATTTTCTGAAACGATGAGTTCTTGATCGGTTCCAAGAACTTTCCAACTGATCGTGTCAATATTAGTTCTAACCTGCAGTGTCCTGAAAAATTCACGAAAATATACAATGGAACGATAAACATAGAGCACAGACTTCCACTCACGACGTGATGACGAGATCAGCCCGACTAGGGATGACACGTTTGCGCGTCCTACATGAGACAAACGTGAACGGCAGTAAAAGTGATTTCACGCAGAACGAACTTCACCTCTTGGACCACATTGCGCTTGCAATGGACAACTGAATCTCAAAGCAACTGTAGCCATGACAACTTGGAGATTGCTTCCATAGGAGACAATGACTGAATTCATTCGAGGTCTCTAAGTGATGCTAGAGGAATCCGGAAATTTGATGTAGTACACACACATACACGAAGAATTTTTTGGAATACGACGTGTCTCTTCAGTCGTCTGCACAAACGTTTATTCAAAAGCTTTCCCTACAATATAGATATGCACAACGTGCTTACGCGAGGCCGGTAACTCTGATCACCAGGGGAGTCGAAATTAATACACTCAAGTACATTGCGTTTCAGTTCCAGATGCATTCTACGGTGTTGCTGTAGAAAGACAATCGGTAGACTGGGATGTAATGGCAAAAGGAGGAATTTTTGATATTTTGCCGTCCTTATGAAATAGCACTTTTGCGATAAGAAAAACTATTCACCATATCCCTCGGAGCAATGTTTGGTTTCGATGAATACGGTAATGACTACGTGAACGGATGTAAGACGAATAATCTCAGAAGAATCGGTCAATTGATTTACAGCGTCCAGGTGGGATCATTGATATGGAAACATGTCAATCAGCTATGGCCGACTGAGTGCCCTATCCCATTGGCGATAGAAGATTTACTAGACCTCAACCTTCTTCTTGAAGCCTTTGACCTCCCAACACCAGCACCTATAGCCACTGCTTCACATGTACCGCCCAAGACAGATCCATTGCTGCAACCGAGACGCCGTACCTACCGTGCTAGGAAACGGACGGGACCTTTACAACTTGATCCGCGTCGACAACCTTACATTGAATGGCCAAAAGAGGGAGATATCAGGAAGGTCAGATTCCCCAAAGTAATCACTGAATGCCCGAAATCTACTTGGGCCCTTAACTCCATTAGATGATGACCAGACGGAAAGCGACCCCTCAATATGCACCGCGTGACAACCTTGTATCAAAGCCAGACAGCCCAAGACAGCGTTGGACCAAGGACAGTGTTCCTCCAATAATATACCTTGAGGTCGTTGTGTTTTCGCACTCAAGCTCTCGCACTCGCTTGTTCACAATAAAGCTGTTGTGTTCCTTATCGGTGAGCCTTTTTCCGGCACTAGGCACTGGGAACAGCAGTCAGATATTACACATTCAGAATCAATCCGACGATACACGATTTTTTCCGGAAAAAAAGATCCACCGGCTGTTTACGAAATACCTCCAGATTCGTTATTAAGACAAAAGCTTGATTCAGAAAATAGAATGAAAAACAGCAGGAAGCATTCAATTTGGTGACCAGTGCAATTCAAGATGCTAATTCCTCAGGACTAGCACTCAGAAGAAGTTAAACCATCGGGCCATGTGGTTCAGAATGACATTGTGACGTGGATGTGAAGGGAAACAGGCAGTAAGGAACCTGCGGTTTTTTTTTGAGCATATACTGTTTTGAGTCACTGATTGTTCTTTATGAGATCAACTGGCACTCACCCACTGTCCAGTATTTTGGTCAGTTCTTCCAAACTGCATTGTGCCAACTCCTGAAGAGTGGAAGCGTGCTTCATGATTCGACGATAGTTTTTCCAGGACACTCCAGGAAGTCTCAGCAGCATATCCACAGCCTCTACATTATGATCTTCTAAATGCTCACCGTCCTATATAAAGTTCAAAATAGGACAGTTCCGTGGAATGTAATTGCATAAGCGACGGACAATCTATAAATTTCACAAAACGAGTGAAAATTCCACCTGACAAATCATCACTCGAAAAGCCAGTCCACACGTTATCACTTGATGTGGATTCCGTTATTCAAGGATGACTTGCGTTATAGCCCAATTGCGAGCTAATCAAACTGCTGGTCAACCATTTGTGGCCGAACTGCTAAGTATTCAAAAACTACTACAAGGGATGTTGCGGGTTCAAAACTCCCTGCAGGTGATCCCCAATACAGCGTAGTACAAATTCACCTACAGGTCGAAATCTCAACCGAACGAAAACTGACAGGAACATCAGTGACTGTAGTTGCAGAAGACAGCCACAGTCATGAAGGTGAAGGGTGGGCAAGAGTAAAGCAGGTACCTCGCCGCTACCACGAGTGCAGTACAAGAATAAGTTTGAAGTCACTCATTCTAAACTGGACAAGGGGTTTCGTCGCTTTGAACCCAGTTCATCCATCCAGTTCATGTGCGGAACAAGGTCGAGACATCTGTATTAGTTTTAAATAGTAAGCAGACAGCCCAAAAACAAATCACTCAGTGAAAACACCCCGTTAGGAAACTGAATAATCTTACGAGCGGTATCCGGTTGAGCAGTACCGATAAGATCAACGTTCACCTAAGAAGCTGTTGAGTGAACACGGAGGTGAGATCCAACAGAATTCCACGTGCACTATTATTAATTGCCAGACACCCCCATTATGCTTTGAAACGATGTAATCATTCAGCTGTAACACCCCTCCAGTGTCTAGCTGCCGTGACACCCAAAGGAAGCACTAGAGCTGGGATACTGTCACGTTGCTCAAGCCTAGACAAGGGAAGTCGAGAGACAGAGGTTGGGCTCGAATTACGAACCTTCGGGTCAGTAAATTCATGCTCTAACCACTGAGCCATGTTGATTGAAACGATGTACGCACATTCCGAGGCTTTGCGTGCGGTAGATTTGGAGATAACGAATTCTTGCCTCAAGTCTCGGTTTCGTATCCGGAGGGAGACGCCAGAATTCCGGTACGGTGTGGGTGTTTCTACCTGGGATTGGTAAGTAGTTCGAACCCGGCCTCTGCCGCTCGACTTCCCCTGTCTGGGCTTGGCAGCATCCCAGTCCTCGACCTTCCTTCGGGTAGCATGGCAGTTAGGCACCGAAAGGGTATTACAGCTGAATGATTATTATTATTCATGAGTAAGTAGACACAAACCACCACCCTCCGCATCTGAGATCAGCTATGGAACTTTCCATATTCTGCATAGTGATACTTTCATCACCGTAGCATGACCGGAGCTGTGTGGTCCGTCCGGACCAAGTATTCCGTGGATTCTTGCACACTTGTAACTGATATCAATACTAATGTACGAACCTGGCGAATGTCTGTAAGGACGGTCATTCGAGTCGTTGTGCTAACTAACAACAGTGCAGTAAGACCCGGAAAAGCAGAAGTCCTTATTAGAAACTCTGGATACATCTGGATGCCCAACATTGTTGATTTGCGACTGCCACGATAGCATAATCCAAAGATTCCGTACTGATTGTACCGTCCACCTGCATACTCGCGCCTTGTTTTGTCAATAACTGCCAACCGATGGAATACCAACACAGAAACCACATTGGGAATACAGATAACAGGCAACACATCAACTGGCTACACGCGAGTTCTGTGTGCCGTTTTACAATTAAACAGTAAAAAGTCCCTGGTTGGAAGTGCAGAAGATTTTCTATGTACAAAGAGTAAGACTTACCTGAGGAAGCTTTTCGGTGGTTGGTTCAGCTCTGCCTTGTTTGAGTTCAGTGAACAGTTCGGCGGTACAATAGGGGCTAACGCTCCAGAATAGTCTCAAATTTGGGAAGTGGATGGTCAGCAGAGTCAGTTTGGATAGCAAATGATGTGCGTTCAGTTCAGTTCCTGAATGAATACTGTGACGCCCTGTGTAGAGTGAGAAGCCCAGTACACCGTCACCACGATAACCGAGTCCTCCACGCGCCAAGGCACTCCCGGTTACTGTAGGTCGGGTCGGAACATAGAGTGGGTGCAAAATCATGAAAAGATCGGGATTACAGCAAGCGTGCTGACTGATTTAATAATCATCAGTATGAAAAACAACTCCTTTATTGACATTATGCGCAGGAACAACCATATGCAAGTGCCTTAAATATAGTACATGGCACAATGGTGGAACCCCTACACAATAACAATGGTGGTATTTCTCGTAACAATCTTCGTTCTACCGGATTAGCTACATCTATATACAGTTCGTTTGGTTAGCATCACTTTGGCACGATAGCCTTGAATTGGCTTATTGCTACTGAACTGTTGAAGAAGAGAATGTTGGCAATCGAGCTGATATTCGAATTTGTTACTGAGATTGGTGGCTCTGCTGTGAAACTTTCGTCGGCAATCAAGGCGAGGTCGTCAGATAAGTAAAAGTGTGGCGGTGAATCGGTGTGTGAGAGATTGAAGACTATTCACTGTACCACCCATTTTCGTCACCATGTGTACCGTATGCGAAACATCCAGGCAGTCATACCCAAGCGACTGACCAGCAAGCGGAAATCGGTCCCAAAGCAATAACACTAGAAGTCGAGTTTGCCACTAGGAATACATTACGAATACAACAATCCACCGGAAAGGATCCATCTGAAGAGGAGTCACTTCCCTAGAGAGTTCAAAAAGCATTTCAATGGTACCTGGAGTCTAGTGCCGATCTGTTTGAAAAGGCCAACGCCCATCAGAGGTCAAATAACCCCTTTTCCAGGAGAGTTATTCATTGGGTTAGGATTAAAGTATTGTGAGAAATGCTTCTGCAGGGTGTGTGGATACACCAAGCTGGTGACAGCACCCGTTCGAAAGCGTTCCACGTACCTTCTTGTGGATCACTTCGGCAACAAAGAAGTAGGCACAAAGCATTTCGACTCACCTTTTGTCGGCAGCGAAAATTCGATTAGCAATACAGGATTGGGATAGTGTCTGGACATAGACGTGCATTGCTGGTACAGGCGACCGGACTTCAATGACCCAATGAGGTCGCTGACCGACTTTCGCTCAACACACAAATGTGGGGCAAGAATGTAGTCGGACACGCTCAACGTCATCGGTTCAACCTAGACGAAAGGGTCAGAACAGTCAATGAAAGTACTTGGGTTAGACCGTGCACCAAAGAGACACGCGTAATAACGCTTGGTTCACTAATTAGAAAAAACCAATTGAATGTGAGTTAATCAGGGTCAACCTCAGTCCGATAGTAAGCAAATCGATTGCGTGCACAAAGTCAGGTGCTATCGGGCATCGTTCCACTGAGTACCAGTAAGCACAATTTGGTATCATGCAGCAGGATAGTGAACGACGTCCCTGAGTCAAAATGGTGCCATTCGATCACGTTGTGTTAAGTTTGAATGGAATCGACGAAAGATAAACTCGGAGATGTGAGGTAGAACGGGTAACGAACACAAGTGGTCCCGATAGCAACTACCAACCTTGAGAGGAGATTGGTACATTGTTAACCAGTCAACTTTAATCGGTGGATGTCAATGACCCTAGATGATTAGGATATTGGATATCAGCCATAAATCTATTATCATTATCACCAATTTTACTAGAGGGGGAGCCAGTATGAAGTTTATAAAGGCGAATACCTCCTCTGATAAACTGTTGTTGCATTTTGTTCGATAGGTTGACGAAATGACTGACGATTAGATACACAGGAGATTGTGCTACGTATCTGACTGTTCGTACCCGTCATTCAAATGGGTGACAATTCATTCTCAAATGGTAGACCTAGCAGTGTCAGTTGAAAACAAAAACAGTTGCAGACAATCCCGGATGTTACAGTGGATCCGTAAAAACTTGAAAACCGTAGCAGAGAGCAACTAGTTTCGAACCATGCGTCAATAGGCCCGAGTTTCGAATAAGTACGGGTGCATTATAGTTCAGCGATACGCTGCTGGATCAAAAACAGCCATCAACAGTAAGGAACCAATCCAATACAAAAGAGTCAGCCGAGTGGATACCCGTAGTCTTGTGTGAAGAATGGACCACAGTAACTCGGAATAAAGATCGGAATAAGTAAAGAAACCCTCGTTAGAGAAATCACCAGTGGGAGGAGATACTTGTACTCAGAAGGACCGTTTGCATGGTATAAAGCTTCACATGCATACATGAGTAAATGAGTACCGCTCAAAGGATAAATTCTATTGAATAAGTGTTTATAGAACAACACAGGGATGCAAAACAAGCCACAGTCGAAAACATGGCCAAGTAGGATCCCTGTCTGAAATCTGAACAGCGATAGCAGAGAAACTATGTGTTATATCACAAAGGCATAGACATACTAGGTCGAAAGTGAGCAAGTTTACTCACTTTTAGGCCCTTGCGGTGAAGCAAAGCGGGAAGTTCACTCCGAAATTCTCGCATATCCACAATAACTCGAGGTTGCTGGCGCTGTTGTCCGGAATCCGATCCCCCTTGATCTTGAAATGAAGCTGGTACAAGTGCGTCTTTGGGTATAACGATATGACTGCTCAGTTGAATAAGGGATTCAAATGCTTCTCTCTCCTACAGAAATGAAGAAGGAAAGCAACGAATTCAGAACCATGTGAGAAAATATCGCAGTTTCAGCTTCGCTCAATCAAATTGACGATCAGGACAAGCCGAAAGAAAACCGCATGAAGAGTCTCGTTCCAGAACGGTTGCATAATGTTATATCGGCGGAATTTCGTTATATCGCAGTTTCAGCTTCGCTCAATCAAACTGACGATCAGGACAACCCGAAAGAAAACCGCATGAAGAGCCTCGTTCCAGAACGGTTGCATACATGTTATATCGCCAGAATTTCGTGGCAACGACAACAAGTGACGTAGTTGCTTGTAATCAAGTGGATTCCACAACCACCAGAAGAAAACAGCCGGCTAATTCAGAACTACCACAATCAGACTTACCCTGCGTAGTTGAGTCAAGTACCGTTGTTCCTCAACCGAATTCTCATATACCATAAAGTGGACATTCAAAGGAGTAACCATGGCACCGCCATCTGTAGATTCCCGAGCCTCAGCTCCTACGGATCCACAGGCTTGAGCATGACGTCTGGCAGAGTGCACCTCAATCTCACGAATCCAGGATACTCGCGGTTCGTACAGTATCACGTGACGTGGTTGTAATGAATCAAGAACATAGGCCAATCTGCGGCCGAAAGATCGCGCGAATTCGTCGTGCTGCAGTTGATCGACTCCAGACCGAAAAGCTCCACTGCTACCCTCCTCGGTAGCCGCTATGGTAGGTGGAACCCAAATAACAACCTCCAGTTTGCCAGTGTGAGAACTTTTCAGCAAACGCGATGCCACCCGTATCTTACGACAACCCATGGGTAGAAGCTCCTGGACAAGCCTTTCTCTGTCCATCTGGGTGGAATCTAGTGGTTTAAGAATGTCCTCTTCGGAGGAACTACTGCTATCACTGTTCACGTCTTCATCTGGACGTTTTGCTGAATCAAATGTGTTCGCCCCAGCTTTCTTATACATCTGCGTAAGTGTCATACATTGTGGCTCAGTGGGATTTTCGTTGGATAGTTTTGGTACCTGAAAAGAGTGGAAAGGAAGCCTTGTTATCCTTTATTACTACAACAGCACCATAAGCGATGAGCGCTTGTCGAGTAGAAACAATTATACTATGGACATGGATTTTACACTCGTGAAAGGCTTGGCTAGTGCACGGTTTAGCTCATACAGGTAGGGGTCAATAGCATAGGTCTTGAGCCTGAGCACCGGGTGATCAAAACCTGCACAAGTAATCGAGGCTCATTCATAACGAAATGCATATTAGAGTGTTTTTCCAGCATTACCTGCTCCCGCATTATAATCACCACTTTTAAAACTCCAAGCCCAGACTTACTGCTTATTAGGTTTTTCGTGAGGATCGTGAAAAGATGGGGGAACGAACAGGTTAATCATTAATAGTCGGGTTCAATTCCATTTAAGTCCTATCCTATTGGTGAGAGCGTATCGCGAATCGCTGTCCAGGCACGCAGTCTCCTGCAGGCGACCTGATGCTAACTAGTTCTTCGACCGAAGACATCTCAGATGAGGGTCCATGTGCATTGTCCTGGATAGATCACCTGATTCCTGTCAGTATGTTGCACTTTAGATCATTGCATTACAAGTCCATTATTCGTCAAAACCAACTGAAGCAAATGTTTGCAGTTCGGAGTAACTAACCTTTGGATCGGTGATTTTGGGTGGGGGGTCGTCCGCTGAATCACGAGTGTTGATCAGAAAACGTTTCATTGAACATGATCCACGTCGTAGGAAGCGTTCTAAGTTCCGAGCACTGTTTTCGTGAGCAACCAGCACAAGCACCTGAGTCTTGGGGTTGTCCGACGCGTTTTCCCGGCTGTTATGAATATCCCTCAAAATATCTGTTAGCGCTTCCCACTTGGGCGTCAACTCGATTTGCACTGTCTCTGCACAGTAACGAATATGCAAACAGCTTTATCGGCATCGTTCAACGTAACAAAAACAAAAAACAGTACCGACACAACTAGAAATGGGTGGGAAAGAATTGGTCCACTTTCGAGGCCTCAAGTCACTGTGTCCTTAACCTTTATTCCTTGATTTTTCCCTCAAGCATACCCACATCAGATATGGTCCATATACCACCTACCGCAAACGGTGCTGTATAACCGTAAAACATTCTAAACCTACGGGAGAATATCACAAGAAAAACGAAACTCCCACGAGTAAAATTCTGTGGAGCAAGGGTGCAACAGCGCTATTCTGGAAAATTCCATATACAGACAAGCCATTTCACAATTCTCACGAGATTTCACACTATATCTCGGTGCGGTTAAATTTCATCTCTGCAATGGATCTCAGGGACCCAAAAATGTCACAAATAAGCCTAGATGTGGTACAATGTTCACTCCAGATGGTGAAGGTCGCTTGGAGACAGGTTGATTCGGCAAAACCAAGAAGCCTTGAGATCTCTGGAAGCCCCTATGGTTCTAGAAAGCATCCAGCTGACACCTTAACCGAAACGAATCGTTCATAGTCCGGCCGTTTGATGCGTTATTCACTTGGTAATTAAAGGTCGGACGTAGCATGATTTACAGTTGCTAACCAGCGACTAGGCTCATTCAGTAAGTAAATATGGTGCTATTTGTTACACTGTTTTTTCATACAGGTCCAGCTAGTGGGTGTAGTTTTACGGGACTGAGCTTGATACCAGAAGATCGCGTAAGTCGTACCACAAACCGTTACAAGAAATTGAATCCAACTTAGACGCACTATAGATAATGCTAAGCTGTTTTGGTGATGCTATTCTTAATGAATTCGCCCAAATATATATTCTGCGGATTGTGAATCCAACGAAGTAGTTTAAGTAAAAGCCCTAAGCGTGTTAACAAAACCCCATTCAACTTGTGGGTTCCAAACAGCTGGGCATTAAGGTGAGAGAATTAAGAGTAAATCTCATTCCTCATCCATGATAGCCAATTTGTGAGAGGGATCGGGCCACAATCGAATGGTTGCAGCGCGGTTGTGCAGACACAGTAAGAACATACCCAGTTGAAACATTCCGAACCTCTTCCCTTCATTGAAAGCTATGACGCAATAAGATATCGATTGGCTGTGGCCATGAAAACGTGCAAGCCCCTCCTGAATCGGTTCGACAAAACTTGCGGCTTCTCTGCAGTGAACAACTTCAAAAGTAGTTAACAAGCCCCAAAGAGCAGAAAAAACCGGTACTCCAGAGGACCTCTTATCATAATTTAGGTCATATGACATAGCCTGTGAAACTCAAGACGCCAACTTATTCATAACATCAAAATCGCACGAACAAAACATACTTTCGGCGAAGTTCCTATACACCCTTGACCGTGCCGCTGTGAGTAATCGGTCAGACTGGTCCATGAGGAACCATGAGGGGCACACGTACGAACCTCGTCGTCCATGGTCTGCAGATCCACTCGACTGTGCCCCTGATATACCAAGATTCGCCGTCTGCGCCACTTGTCGGTGTGCCTCTAAATTGTTCAAAAAGCTGACAGCGTCTCCCTCTATGAGAATACGCAGCAGTCGACGTAAATTGGCAATGTCACTTATTAGACGCCGACTGGTGGTCGTCAACTGGTGCCACACGGGATCCAAATACATGCCGATCTGAACGATTGCCATGACAAGTAGGGAAAGTGAAAATTGCACAAAAGCAAATGGTAGTTGACAAGCGGTAAGGAGTATGCTATTCAGCCCTTTAGTTCAGCAATTGTACGAAACCTTCAACAATCAACATAGCTGTGGAGCAAGAACAAGACCATGAGAAAAAAAGGAGGCACAAGAAGTGTCTAACACCCCGGGTTTCATGAAAGGGTCAAACATCCCCCGAAACGACGTAAATTCGCATCGAATGATTTTTGGATTTCTCTTGTGACAAACTGTGTTTTACTCAAAGGCTTATCGAGACAGTTTGTAAAAATACAAGAATATCGCAAGACAAAAACAGTGTACACTTATTCGCGGGTCATCCCAATTATAGCTATGCCTACCTAGATCATCCAGTTAATCAATATACAGTTGTTCGATTACATCGTTTGGAAGGTCTAATTTGTTCTTTATAAAAATCCGCTCGGACTATGGGCAAAAAACGCAAACAACCGCTTCACAATCTTACAAGCCATTTGTTTGGAAGACCCAAACGTCCAGTCTAGTCGGGTGCCTTTCACACTGCGGTTCAACGGGCTACTTCAACTATGTTGTGACTTGGTGGACGGTAGTGCAACTCTGTATAGGTCCCTTGGCTTCCTTCTCCGCCCACTATGGTATATCAAAGGGCACGGTAGCTCTACACAGCCCTTTATGGAGATAAAGGAAAATCATTACAAGCGTATTTATAGGGTAGTCACAGAGTGTTCCACAAGGTCGTGCCAGAATGTGCGTGAGGGGGCGAGAAGCGTCGAGTCAAAGGTGCTTGACTCGGATTGGCTGGCATTCTGACCAATCAGGGCATGCCCTCGTCTGGCCCGTGTCCTGCACGTGACTAAGACTTCGCTTGTGCTCTAGCTTTCAGTGTATCTCTCCATATCAGTCAAAATAACAGTAGGAAAATAGGTCTACTTTCGTTTTTTGTGTTGGCCGTGTTACGCGCTTGCAGGGATGAAGCAAAATACATGGCTGTTGGTTGGTCTGTTGGTCGAGATTGGTAGTTGGGTTGCAAACGTGTCATCATCAATCGATTTGACACAGTTGGTATGGGATTTAGTGGAGGAATGAGTGAGAGGATCCACTTAACCCCGCACCGAACATGTCATCCCAACTGGAGTTAAAATGTTTACAATCCAACAGTCAAGCTCAGTGAACAGACCAAAAATCAAGTAGCGCATCCAAGCTACCTAGATATTTCATTCTTTCAGTCTATTTTCTAACAAGGCAATCCCTTTCGTTTCCGGGTATAGTTGCCCTTTGCGTAGACCGCCTCTCGGAAAGTATAATTTTCTATTGGTAACCAGGAGGCACCTCTCATGACAGCCAGCTTCGATTTCTTCTAATGACAAAACAAACACACGTTTCTAAAGTCCCTCAACGCTTAGCACGGATAAACGGAGGAAAGCAGTTATTAGAAAGCGGTTATTGTTTATTTATGCAATTTGCCCGTTCATTCCACCGGACGCTACGATGTACAAAAGCTTGAAAAACGGGCCACCAGTCTCTAGCAAAATTCGAGTCACAGAGTGACAACGCTGCTCGCAGTTCGCTCTTCTTTACCACCCTATTCGTTCTTACGAAACTGGCCCCTGATTCCAAGTGGCTTCCCCCGTTGTTGGCAAAATCTACTTCCCTATTCATTCTTTACCAAGATGCCAGCTCAAATTCAACCTCTCGCTTCAAATCAAAAGTCAGCAGGTGTTTCAGACACCGCGTTCGTTTTCATTCGGCGTTGTTTTTCTGTTCAATTTTTTTCTTTATCGAAGGTCTCTGGACGGCAAAGTTTCCCATATCCCGTAACTTCGTGTTTTGCTGTGATAAGAAACGGATACGCCCCTAATATTGAGTCAGATGTATATGGCCAGTTGGCAAATACGTAGGGTAGCAGGTAGTAGGCTCAATGACACACTTGCGCACTGAGGACACCCAGAACGATAAGAAGCAAGGATAGGACCATCCAGTGACTGGATGCAGCTGATTAAACCTGCACTACTGGTTCTTCCTGTGTTGTCCATGTAAGTTTTGGATGTAGAGAGCACGTGTTCGATATGTATATTCGTTTGACAGCTGTGAACGTGACCGTTTAAACGACGTTCAATAAGACCGAATTCACCAATTACATGACTGGTTTAGGTGGGTGGTAAGTCGGTAGTAGCTTTCCGAACGGGAGTCACTTCAATAAGACCACGAAAAACCCGCATTGTGGAATACTGGAGTATATGTTATAACTCACCAGACCGTCAAAATTCGGCAGCAGGGCGTTCTCCAAACTCAATTCATCCGTGTTCAGGACAGGATTAAGGTCGATTAGCTCGCGGATGCAAGCTTTGACTAGGTCCAATATACAAGATTGACAAGTTGACATATATGAGGTGAGTTGAACCTGTCGAAGACAAGCAGACAAAAAGGGAAATATGGGTATCGGATGGCCTTTGATCCGCTTTAGGGTGACAACTTATCTATTTTTTGCTCGAGTAACATGTGAATAATAGGCCACAAAGTTCTTATCGCAAACGCCCTAGTTTTAGTCGATTTTAATCGAATCACTCTAAGTAACCTACCCGAACTTCTTCCACCTGTGGCTGTGTCGCCGCAAAGCAAGATACCACCTGTAGGTTGAACCGCGGCCAGAGAACCAATTTAGGGATTCCAGCTTGTTTCATGATATTCTCAGCATGGTTATATCCAGATGTGAGGGAAACAGCATTATCACTCATGGCTTTGATAAAAATTGACGGATTTCGTTCCCGTAGTAGTCGAATGGCGAAATTCTCCTGACATGCCTCTTGCAGCTCATGTGCTCGGAGGATGAGTACACCGGATACGAGAGTAGCCGGCATGCGTTCTATCAATAAGTCCACCACAAGAATGCGAGAAGTGACGAAAACAACGCCACCACGCTTGTATATCGCTTCGCGCTCCTTGTTATTCACTTCGGCTGTGATTATGCCCGGTGAATGGAGCACATCATCCTTTGCCAGTAATTCTGATAGAAACCTGGCTTCGGCTGGACGATAATTGGATACAAGGAGTAGATTATGAGGATCGGAATGCAATTTGAGTGTCGAATAGACTATCGTGTCCATTCCTAATCCTTCAGCCACAACAAGCAGTGAGCTGTCTTCATGAATATCAAGCAAAAGTGACGCCTCGTATTCCAGAAGTTCATGCATTGTGCGGCACTGAAAGCACGGAAACACGGATTAACTGTCGTTACAAATGAATAACTCACTGGTTGCTCTTTGTGCTGAGAACACTGTTGAAGGTATTTCAAGCTGAAAGAACCTGAAACTCATACCTTCGGCAACGTTTTGTTAACCTCAATAATACACCTATGGGGAGAAAACGGTCTTCATACACCTTCGATTACTTATTTGTTCTTGATTGTACCAATCTAGCCCCAATAAAGCAGCAAACCTGGATGCATGACCAGTGTGTCACGAAATACCTAACGTATGATACCCACGCAGGATACCGCGGATACCAGAGCTGAGGAGCGCGATCCCCATCCACGGGGGCGATAGCTGCCAGCCAGAGTGAGTTTGCTGGTTGACGCCGTCATACTTCGTTGTCAGGTCATTAGCTGTCCGTTTCACAGTTACATCTACTTAGCACAGGGTTGGATGAAAGATCTTCGAGGCAGACGATCCTGCGATATGTGGGTCACACGCCCTAATCAGCGTAAACTACGAAGCATAGACGGCTGAGCATACGCAGGAGAGTTCCTACTTCCTAAAAACATCCGACAAACCTCAGCATTGTTAATTTGATGCTCCAACCAGACCGAAGCAATGCTTCTTTCACTTGAAGCACCCTTTAGGTGACTATCTACCATGTCACCCAGAGAAAGCACGAGGGCTGGGATACTGCCTGGTTGCCCGAGCCTAGACAGGGTACATCGAGAGGCAGGGACCGAATTCGAATCATGGACCTTCTGGTCAATGAATTCGAGCCCTAACCACCGAACCCACTCGCCCCCTTATCTGGTATGAATTGTACCGTCAAAGTGTACTCTCCGCCCCTGGCAGACAAACCGAAGTCATTTTGGCAAAAGTGGTCCTGATCTCGAGTTGAGGAGTAATCCCGTCTCCAGCCAGTTCACCGGAACCTGGAGAACTGCCCATACAATTAGATTTATTTACCACATCGATTGACCGGTTTTCGGAACGAGGTTTGGGTTTAATTCAATCCAGTATTGTAGTAGCATTTAACATTTGACAGGTATATGGCGCATAACGAACCGTACGCCGGATTTAGTTGAGTTCGTTGAAATATGGACCAAATCTTCACAATTCGTTAAGTGCTAGAGCAGTGACATGCGTACATGCGCCAAGCATTATTGACATCCCTTGACTTCAAGAATGGGTTTGATTACGTTGACTGGTGCACTCTCTCCAACACGATCACGATATAGGTAGACCCCAAAAGTTCGTGATCACGTCCTGTTTATAGTCATATACTTGAGGGTACGTCAGAGTGCACGGGTAGCTCCCAAAAAGCTTTCCTACAAACAGCAATGTTCACCAGGGGTACGCAATCTTCATAACTATGTCTGACAATAAACTCATGCCACATCGGCCATCGCGTGGTGCCATCAGCCGGGTCGCCTCGTCACATGGTGCCGATATACTCAGGTACCTCCTCAAATTAAAGCCTCGACACCCGGTCTATATGGATGTCTTCAATGTTCGCACTCTGAAGCAAGCAAGACAACAGACTGTTCTTGATCTCACACTGGATTCGCTTGGCATTGGTGTGTGCTGTGTCTCAGAAACAAGAATTCAAGGTGCAAGCACGGTGATTGAGGTAAACGCCCCAGCAGTCTCCACTCGCTTCCGGCTGCGCACTTCTGGTGATCCATAGGTTGCTGCAGCAGGATGTGCAGGGGGTTCTGAGTCACCTTGCTTGACTGGACACTTTCTGCTAGTCGCCTGTGTGCGGTTCGTCTGACAAAGTCCGTGAAGGAGTCCCATAAACGGGGAGTTGATCGCTGTCTGTTTATCGTGCATGCTCACGTTCCAACTGACTGTAGCTCTGATGCCGTCAAAGACAGGCTTTACGACGCCCTGAACGCCCTGCTGGGACGAGCTAAAAGCTCAGATATCGTGGTGGTTGCCGGAGATTTGAATTCACAAGTGGGCAGGATTAGCGTATCTGAGACTCAACCAGGGGTCGATATGGATGGGACTCGGTACGTACGTACCATTAGGAACGATTGCTTCAGTTGTGCACTGTTTTTATGCAGTACTAACTACCGAAATAGCCGAAGTCGTCTGGCCACAGGGTGTCTTCCAACGGCCTGCCGCCGACGAACTCAAATCGAACACATAACCATCAGTTACCGATGGTGTGGATCAATAACTGACTATCGGTCGTTTTAAAACACATTTGTGGATTCCGACCACGAGCTCGTCGAGAGTCGCTTTCCATGGCCACGTAAGATTCAGAAAAATCGCTTGGCAACTGAAAGACTGGCGGACCTGGATGTTAGACAAACTTACCGGAATCGTTTTCTAGAGTCACTCCCAAAGGCTCCACCATGAGATAGAACTCATACTTGGACGAGATTGCCATCTATTTGCGTAGTGCTGGGAATTTCACCTGTGGCACGGCACCACCAGGCTCACTCAAGCACTGGATATCAGACCGAATGGTAGCACTGCCTAAATCTCGGAGAAATATCCCAGCCGGCCCCGAACATAGCCTGATGGGATAGTCACCATCATCATCAAAGACAGCAACATCGATTAGCCGCCATTTCTTGCAATGTATCCAGCCAAGCACAGACGGGGTCACGGGGACCCCATCCTGGAAGGCGCACAACACCAACAACACCCAAACTCTTCGTGATCTCTTTCACGCCTTTCTGCCAAGTCATGTGCTGTCCACCTCGCGGTTTGCGCCATCCTGAAGGAGGCACGGAGAACAACACTCGTCTCGGTAGACGGTGTTTTGGCATGCGTAGCACATGACCGAGCCATCGTAGTCGATGATGCTGGATGTTTTCCCGGATTGAGGTGCCTGCAGCACAACCAAATACCCGTTTCCTAATC